ATATATATATATATATATATATATATACATATATATATATATATATAGGATTTGGGAACTAGTCACTCTTGCATACCAAGGCATGCCTGTACTGTTGTTTCCTGAACATCAACAAATATTACAAAGTTTGAAATTAGACAGGGGAAGAGATGAATAACAATATAATAAAACGATTCTATCTATATGCTATAATAAAAGTTTTGTGAAGCCTCTCTCACTCAGAAGTCAATCTGATAACTTAGGCAACTTCTAAGTGACTAGCAGGCAGGTAGCATATACCACATAGACATGCTGACCAAAGAGATCATTTGTAACCTGGGCATGATGGAGTGGGAGAGTGTAGACTTTATCATGCTACTTAGAGCAACATACAATTTAAAACGTATGAATTAATTAGTTCTGTAATTTTTCACTAATGTTTTCAGACCAGAGCTGTTTGCCAGCTAGTGCTTCTACAGAAGATGAAGCTGTAGGCAAGTGGGGAAAGGATTATGATAATATATGAGAGCCATTTTTTTTAAACCACAGATAGAACTACACTGGACATTCTTAACTTGTGGGGTTTGTATCTGTTTTAATATGTCTTTAATGTATATCTCCTTATCAGGGCATACAGATCTCCCACGCTCTTTCAAGGCCTGCATCATATTTCATTATAACAATCATTGCTTTTATAATCTGGTTCAGCGTTTTGTTAAGGAAAAAGAAAAGATGGAGAGGGTTTTTTTTGTTTTTGTTTTTGTTTTTTTTAAGCAGGAAAAGATGTAAGGCAGTGGAGCATACTGAGTATCTAAGGAACAGTAGAAGAACATAGTCTTTAAATAGTGCCACTAAATTTTAGCAACAATGGGCATCAGTTGGATGAGTACATTTGTCTAGTGCTTTGTGACATAAATGAGATAAAGATTAGTTTTAGATCTAAACCACAAGTCAGCCATTCCCAACACTTCTGTAACCAGAAACCATGCTTAATGTTAGATTCCTTTGAGGATTTAAATAGCACATAGATAGAGTGAAACACTGAATGCTATTTCAACTATCAAAAACAAAAAACAAAAAAACAAGTATAGCAAGCTTTTAAATATGAAGTTTTTTTAAAAGCTGTGTCACCATGGAATTGAGGAACAGTATTGAGCTGGTCATGTTTAGCTCTAATCCACTACTAGAAGATGAGAGGAAAAAAAAAAAAACCAAAACAGAACTCGAGGCTAATTTTTCTGAGTGGCAGGGAATCCTACAGTAGCATCACCAAGGGATCAGCTATGGGACTAATTTGATTTAATATTCATTATAGTTTTGGATTAGGGGAGTCTAGGACCAAATTGCTAGCTTGGCATCTATTTCTACTATCCTGGTGAAAATAATGAGTTTCAGGATAACCCTTGTTTTATAGAGGGGCACATCAACGCACTTGGTGAGCTTTCATACGGACAAGTCCAAGGAGGCATCTTTAAGAGCACATTACTGAAGTCCATTTCAGAATTAGTCCAACATCTCCATCTGTGCATAGGGTCTCTGCCTCGGGCAAGAGCGGGGGTAAAGAAAAAAAGTCAGAATTGGTATAATCAGGGAGGAACTGCATTTTGACAAAATTCTATGGGCATAAAGTGGCCAATACTGAGTTTTTTCCTGTTTGATAAAGAATCCATGAAGGCAGTTAGGGTGTGGCTTCTAGGAGCTAATTATATGTATACGATGCATATGTATGTGTTTGTATGTATGTATGTATGTATGTGTGTGTGTGTGTATTCTGCATTGAGCAGGAATAAACTCAGTACTATACACAAAAAGTATAATGGCATTAAATCAGCACACAAGGCTATTGCTTTCAGCTTTGTTTATATCATCAAAGTTTTTACAATAATTCAGTTGTTTATCAGGAATAGATTGTGCAAATAGTTTATGATACAGTCATGCAGAACATTACAAACAAAGCAGTTCAGTATGTTCTGAAATGGAGTGTGTCCACGGTATAGATAGTAGAACAGAAAATGATGCAAATCATGATAAATAACAGGATTTCAATTTGGGTAAAATTTATGTCTTAGGGTATGATTTAAAAATGTCTGCCTGTGGTTTATTGTGATTCTCTTTAGAAAGACAAAATTATGGTGGGCTTTTTGTTTTATTTCTGTACTGTTTGTATTATTATGACAACTGGTTATTTTGTGATTAAAACATTATTTTAAAATATGAATTTAGGGGCTAGAGAGCTGGCTCAGAAGTTAAGAGCATGTGCTGCTCTTGTACAGGGCGGGAGTTCGAGTTCCAGTAACTATGTTGTGTGTCTCACAACTCCCAATTCAAGTTCCAAGGAATCCAGTGCCTTCTGTTGACTTCATGTCCACATACAACCACATGCACATATCTACACACAATTAAAAATACACAGAATTAAAAATAAATCTTTACAAATATGAATTTACTTTTAACCTCTTTATTCTATTGTGTTTGGGCGGGGTAAGTTATTTATGACTAGACAAAAGACCTGTGACTAGCCAGGAGAAAAAAAAAAAAATAGAAGTGAACTCTGTTTCTCGGCTTCGACTCTGTTTCTTTTCATTCTAATTCAAAATAATGACAGTAAGTAGATATCTGAAACCATGGGCACAGCAAACTGTCCATCATAAGGAAAATCACTGTCCTGGTTGAAGCTGGAAAACAACCTGACAATGGGGATGAATGGCCTGGGATTATGAACCTTCACCCTGCTCACACTGATGAGGATATCCAGAAAGACCATAATACTCCAGCTCTAAAGCAAACCTGTGACTCCCCACGTGGGAGAGGGTCAACAAGGTTCTCCTGAGCCATTGCTTTCTCTTCCAGGGGAGAACATGGAGGCTAGCTGAGAAAGCTTCCTGAACAGGAAACCCGTTCCTGTGGGGTTCACAGGAAATTGTGGGAGGAGGGATATGAGTTGAAGGCAGAGGTGGAGCATGAGAGGGTCTTTCTCCTTCAAATGAGGGGGAAGCACATGCAGAGTCAGTTCCCTGACCATGACCTTGAACCTTCTCTAGCACAGCGCTTCTTATTCATCACCTCATGTTCCAAAAGGGTGGAGAAAAATTATAGTCAGCTGCACTGTTGATAGCCAATGAATTCAATGTTCTCTTTGATTGGGACTTTCAATTGAGTCCCAATTTCACAAAATTTCTCTTTCCCTTCTTCTCTTCAGATACAGCCAGAAGGCAGCAAGGAATGGGATGAAGAATCAGTTTAACCTCCATGAACTGAAAATGAAGGGCCCTGAACCGGTGGTTAGTCAGATCATTGACAAACTGAAGCACATTAACCAGGTATGTGGTAGAGCCAACAAAAGTGGAAATTGAAAAGAAGCCAGTAAGAGCTAGATGATTTTCACCACTGAAACTACTATTTGGGTGTTTAGATAATTAGCAATTACTCATTGTCCTCAATGATTTTTCTCTGTTAAAACTGACTTCAGTCCTTATCCTCACTCCATTTTTAAATCATTATGATATTGTGATATTGCAGTATGAGAGAAATCACAATGATATGGCCACCATGCCTGGCTTCATAAAATAATGTTTTAAATTATACTCTACTGACAACCTATCCTCATGTTCCTATCAATTATTTGCTGTGCCTGTGTAACAGTCTAGTCATCATGATTGATGGACATCCTAAAGGATTCCAGTTTCATTCCATCATTGAGCTGTCTCTTTATCCATACCCGTACCTCTTGATCATAGATTATTTTCTATAATACTGTGCTGTTGGGTTAAGGAATGTGAGAATTTCAATGGCTGTCTCCAAATTACTTTCCAGTGAGAATGTATCACTTTCCACTACCACCAGCAAGATATCAGAGGTCTAGTTTCATGGCACCCGTGCCAAATTCTGACTCATTCCTCATTTTCTTGACCTGTATTGCATAGCTTGTTTAGCAACAAGACACAAATAGTAGTTAGACCATCTGCTTGTGATTGCTTTGTGGCCACATATATTTTTCAAAACCACCAAAAAGGCCACCATATGCCACAGTGACAGTGTTTCTGGGCCACACCATGTTTCATGAATGGGAGGACCCAAGCACTTGGCTACTGTTTGTAGCTTGGGAAGAACTTAATGCAACTAAAATGTTTATGCAAGGATGGAAGCTTATGTGTGAAGACACTTGCCTGATTTTATTTTCAGTGTGAAAGTTAGTGAATTTTTGGCATTCTGAGAAAAATGTTTGCAAGGGCCTGCTAATGGCAGCATATTTTGCTTCAATTGCTTCTTGAAAGTACTGACAACACACTTGTTAGAACTCCTCCAGCACCTTCTAAAGCACGCTGAGCTCAGAGAGTGCTTCATAAATGTTTGTTCCTGCTGCTGAGCACATGGCCAAAGCACTGTGATTCTTCACACATGTATCTCAGAGGGTAGCAAAGCAAAGACAATGTGGCTACTTCACCTAGGAGCGGAGGCGGTATTGCTTGGTCTTCAGACTATGATCCCAGCTGCCTGGGTCTGGTGTGCCTACTCACTTAGGTCTCTGCATTGGTGATACCAAAATTTCAGGGCCCATCACTGTGCCTCTAATCCTGAGTGTAGATGTCATCGGACTCTAAGGAATATCTTGTATGTGTTCTCCTGGGTCCGCATGACTTCTGAAATTGAAAATAAATGTAATACTCTGTTTTAATAGCTTTCCTGGAAAGAGGACCGAAGCATAAGTAGCTCAAGAAAGATAAAATGTGATGTATGATGAAGCGCCTACAGAGATGCTATTCATTCGTTTGGGGTGACTTGGCAGTGACATAGGGTGAACTAGGCTAGGGACGAGTGTCTTGGGAAGGACACACGTTAAGAGTTGCTATAAACCATGTATAAGGTAAGAATAAATAAGGATAAGTAAAGAGGGGCAGTCATAAAGAAGATCAGACAAAGACCTATGGACAGAATACATTTATTTGAAAAAAGGAAAAGTAGGAAAGGTGTTTCCAGCAAGCCGTTTTGTAAAGGCTTTGGGTAGAGTTAAAGAATACAAGTTTGCATCCATCTGTGTCTAAATTTCATACGGCTCTTACCCTATATAGATACATACATACACATACACACATACATATAACACGGTATACGTGTATTTTGTAATATATAACTGTAGGTAAATCAATGCTTTCGTTCTCCCAGAGGTAGTACTGTATGACTACATAAAAGCACATGCGTCTGTACATATATAACATGCATAAGTATACATATGCATAAATATAATTTTATGCGCTTGGCAGGCCATTATTAAGTGGTAGTTCAGGCTTTTTCCTGGAGGCGGCACTTGCCTTTGAAAGGGAGCTTTAGCGTGTTTGGCCACTGAGTTTCATGTGCCTGCAGATTCTTTGTTACTTCTCCTTCTCTCTCTTATATATATATATATATATATTTTTTTTTTTTTTCTCCCATCTAACTTTCAGGCACAAAAGCACAACCTAATTCATACAGAGGTAGAGGTAAACAAAGAAAGAGACTCACCATGAGCTCTTCTTTCTTCTCTCTCTGCTCATAAATTAGTGTGTGAACATTTTCCGTTTCTGCACAAATACCATTGAGCAGTCAATTACCACTGATAGACCAGTTTTACCTGTTAATATTGGTCTGGCTCCAGACACCCACACTTCCTTTCTTTTATGCTCACCTGTGTTGCTTTACATGTACAAAACATGTCTTTTCAACCCTTGGATAAAACTCACATTTTGGCCACTATTCAATGTGAATGTGAGATGCTTTAGGGAAATGACAAAGAACAATGTTTTGATTATGATAATAAAGATGATACTACTGATAATGTGTTAGAATTCTATAGCGCTTGACCTTATTTTAGTCATTGAATAGTCTCATAACTAGGTATTTAGGAAGAAAAAATACAACCTGGAATTGTATGAGATATAATAGAACCATTCTTTTCAAGAATTCATTACTCTTAAACACTTCATCATTCTCACCAAGTGATAAATGTTTATCCCTTTTTTATAGCTAGAGAAACTGAGGCAGGGAGCCATTAGAGTCTGTGCAGGCATGATGCCAAAACATCTAGTGAGTATAGTTGAACATTCAATCAATTATCCAGGTGTTGTTTCTTATACACTGCCAAACATCTGGAATCACTGAAGGCCTGACTAAATTGACTTAAACTTTTGGCAGTGGAGAGGTGGAATCAAGTTAACTTACCCATGTTCACATGTAAGTGGTGAATCCAGGTAATGCTACTTTCCATCCATGTCTATAAATACAGAGATAGCTTCCTCTCTGTGCTCATGTGTCCATCCTGTTGAGCTAGACCATTTATGAGCAGCTCCCAAAATAACTCAACTTTCTGCTACGGAAATTCTCAGCTGCCTCCTTTCAGATTATGGTTTCTCTTGATAGGCCTGGAAATACTATACCCACTAAGGGAATAAAGTAACATTAGTTCTACATTGACAGTCCCATAGTGTAACCTTGAGGAGATGGGTTCAGGGTCAGTCCCAGTCCCATTTCCTGTGAAGGCGTGCAGGTGTATAATGTACTCCCTCCTCCTTCTAAGCCACAGTTCATGCATAACATTCCCACGATTTCTTTTTCAGTTTCAAATTTACGTGAGGATTTATTGTTTTGTGTTAGGAGAAGAATTGAACTGTTCTTCGTTCTCAGTATTAGTTCTGGAATTTACTAGACCATATTTCTTTCTTTCTTTCTTTCTTTCTTTCTTTCTTTCTTTCTTTCTTTCTTTCTTTCTTTCTTTCTTTCTTTCTTTCTTTCTTTTAACCAACTTTTGTTTCTGTTCCTGTCAATCTGCTCCATGCTCCTTATGTGAAGGGAAGACTCCACAAATACCAAGAACGTTCATAATACCTTCCTACCCACATGCGGTGGGCCATTTATCTTCTGACTTAGTTTTGTTGGTAGCATTTTTTCTCTGTTTCAGTATATTTATTAGTTACAGATAGTTTTGCTGTTCCTAAACTACCACAGGAGTTATTGTCCCCAAGGAAAAACTAGCCATTTATCGTGTTCCCCATTTCAGTAAAGGTCCAAATGAAATTCCAGAAATTGTTTTCCTGCCTATTGTAAAGAGTTGAGGCCAGAGCAGTCAATACCTGCCCATTTGGTGTCAAGAGGTTCTCATTCAAAGGAGGATAAAGTCTCATCTGTTTAGGATGGCTGCAATGTCCTGCTGAATGGCGGGGGAGTGGACGAGATGACCTCTTAGGATTCCTTCCAGCGGTGTGATTCTGTGATTTGTGACTCAGGGTCAGGCTTTAACCCAGCACAGTCTTGTGAACAAGTCTTGTGACTTTATTCTCTGCTCTGCACTCTTTTAAAAATACCCTGTTCCCAGGTCATCCTTTTCCACTTTGTAACCTCTCATCCTTTCAGAGGTTGTTCCCTTCCCACCAGTCTTCCAACCCCGGGCAGATGGAACTTCAACTTGCCCTTCCCCCATCCAGTTCTTCTCTTCTTCTGCCTTCTTTTCATCAGGCTATAAAACATTAAATGGTTTAAAAAAACATCTTGGCATTTATTGCTTCTTCTATGTATCCATTCTAGGGATAGTCCAGGAGCAGATATTTGACCTGTCTTTGAATTAAGCTAACCATGTAACTCTATCTAAATGATAATTCAGACATGCATTTGAAGAGCACAGTTTGTAGATGTGTTTCCATGTACATTAGATTAACTGATGACGTTGCTGAGAGGAAAGCAAGATGGGCATTGTTATTCACATTTACCAGGAGAAGAAACTGTAATGCTCTAATAAGACCAAACTCCAAGGCTACTGGTTTTATCCTCGGCTTTCCTTCTACTTCTCTAGTGAAGAGAAGAATAACAAAGTGCTGCTAGGATCCATGTATAAAAGATGGGTAGAAGTACAACTATCTGAAGTCCCTAAACGTTGAGTCTAACAATTTTCAGGGTCCCAATATAGTCATTTCTATAGTCTAAGGTTTAAAGACTTCAACAAAGAAAGAATAAGTGTGTTTCTCAGATTTTCAATTGGGACTAGTCATTAGAAACTGCCTACTACATTGTATGATGTACAAATAAAGGCACTTTGTAGCATGAATGAGTCTGTCAGCTAGCATCTCAAATTCCTAGATAATATTAAATGGCCAAAGAAATAATTCCAATGTTCAACAGAGCATGAAATATCTCTACCTCTATCTCTCTGTGGAAATAATGGCAAACTATTTTTAATATAATTGACAGACCCAGTTACCAATGAAGACATTTGTTGTCTAAATAGAATGTTACATTTTTTAATAAGTTAATTTGTAAAGTGGTTGAGTAACAGAGAAGGTACATGGTTTATTCC